AGTAGAAGTGCCCATGGAGTGTACTGGACTGGACCTGTTCTTGGAGCAGACATCCAGGACATTTTCTATCTTGGAACAAACTGGTTGGTTTAGACGACCAGCCTTTCCGTTAGCTGCGTTCTTAATCCGTGCACTTCCAGGCCTACTCGTAACAGTACTCTTTGAGGAGTAATAGAAAGTCAAAAGAATAATACAGATCAACTTTGAAAAAATATTGGCAAACCATCAACCTTTTGGTGAACAAACATGTTAACTAATTGCACCACCCCGGAACTCCTATTATGTTTAAGGTTAGCACATTTTGTAACTCTCCTTAACCAAAAATTGTTTGATATAATCATGGAAGGGAGTTATGCATCCCATCATCTTCCGCATACCTTTTTTTTGGTGAACTGTCCATGGAAAACATATCATTGTGTATCAAATGAACCAATGAGCCTATATCAAGAAGAAAAAAACTAGGTATAGGTCCTATAGGAGATATGTCATTCCTTAATTAGATGAGAGAATAATCACATAATTAAGCAAATGATAGTCCCAAGAAAACAGAAGAAAAGATGGGTAGGTTCTCAGTACCAGGGAAAATGCCTTTATATTTTGAGCTTTCTTTATAGAGTGATCCTACATGACACTAAGAAGTGTCTGGTAAGGATCAGAATGGTGCATGAAAATTCTGTATTAAGATGTGGGAATTTAAGATTTGTTTCAAGGTTTATGAGGTCATCTAAATTCTGTCCAGGAACATCCACAAAATTCTTATCTGTGATATTTATAACATTAAACGCAGTTGTGTCTTCCAGTAAAATATATCACTTGTATATGCTCAAACTTGTATTTACAATTGCCAAGATTAGTTATTGGACTCCACTGAATTTTATACTAAAATAGGAATTGTGTAACTACTCATTGAAATAAACTGTTGAAACTGAGGATTGGAGAGAACCTTTTGAGAAAGGATTAAATCTAGATATTAAATTTTTAAGAATTAAATATCTGGAAACAACGCACAATGGTAATATCTCGTGCCCAAATGGTATGTATAAAAATGCGTGTATCTGGGGAGAGTGAATGCTGTATTTTCTGAGTATATTTTTGTACTAGAGAAAGGTATGTTGCTATGGATTTCATTGCAGTTTGTGGATGTACAATTTGAAGGGAGTAGAGAATAATTGTCAAGTTATAATACGCCCATTTTTATAAACAGAAAGCAATTGCTAAATAAGATCTAATCTAGGTTTGGAGTTTCTGGTAATACCCCAATGGTGGTGCATTTCCCTGTGTGGTTAACACATTCAACCACTACTGAAAAGTTGGAGGTTTGTGTCCACTCAGTGGTACCACAGAAAATGGAACCTGATATCTACTATTTTTAAAAGCACCCATGAAAACTCTATAACCCAAACCAAGTTTATCTAGTCAATGCTGACTCACAAACACTCCCTGTGGGCTTCCAAGACTGTGTTGTGGGAGTAGAAACCCCAAGCTTTCTTCCATAGGGCTGCTGGTGGTTTCAGATTGCCCGCCATGTGATTGCAGCCTTAGGACAACCCTAAGGAGTAGTCCTACCCTGACTCGCATGTGGATGCCAGGAGATAGAACTGACTCAGCCACAACAATTTCTGTCTGTTAGTCTACATTTTAAGCATCTCAATACATCCGCTAGTAGTAGGCTGCCTACTTGACTTGACTATAAATTTGTTCATTATTGAATTCCCCACTGTCTGGCATTGTGCCTGGCACATAATAGTTAATGGATAATGATAAGTGACTGAGTTAACTCGAACCTTTTTTGTTTTTGTTTTTAAGAATTCTGGAACAAAGGAAACCCAAAACAAAAGAAACAAAGAGCATATCATTGGGAATGAGGGGGAGGGCAGAGAGCAGATCCAAGGCCCATCAGTAGTCGATTGGACACCCCCTATCAGAATGACCACAAGGAAGAGAAGAGCCAGTCAGGGTGTGATATAGCACCAATGAAGCAAACAACTTTCCTCTAGTTCTTTAATGCTTCCTCCCCCACCCCACTACCATGACCCCAATTCTGTCTTACAAATCTGGCTAGACCAGAACATGTATGCTAGTACAGATAAAAGCGTGCAACACAGGGAATCCAGAACAGATAAATCCCTCAGGACCAGTAAGGGGAGCAGCAATACTAGGAGGGTAAGGGTGGAGGGGCTGGAGGGAGTAAGGAGGAACCAATCACAATGATCGACATATGGCCCCCATCCCAAGGGGATAGATAGCAGAAAAGTGGATGAAATTAAACAGCGGTCAGTGTAAGAAATCAAAAATAAGAATAATTTATAAATTATCAAGGGGGCAATGGTGGGGAGGGAGGGAGGAAATGAGGAGCAGATGCCAGGGGCTCTGAAGTAGAAAGAAAAGGTTTTGAAAAAGATAATGACAACACATATACAGATGTGTTTGACAAAATGGATATATGTATGGATTGTGAAAAAATCTGTAAGAGCCCTAAATAAAATTATGTTTTTAGAAAAGAATTCTGGAAGTTAAATTATATGTCAATTGATTTTTTAAATGAACTCTAATTTTTCTAGTTAAATTTTTTTCTAAAACAATAAAGAGCATGAAGCTTAGAAGTCTAAGTAGAATGATAATTATTTACATTCCTCATTTCTAAAAATAGGAAAAGTTGATCTAATCATATTTTCTTGCATTTTGTCTTATATCTTTGATAAGTAGCAAGACATATTTAACTGGTCATTTTGTCAAACTCTCATTTTAACTGGCTTTATTTTATTGTTTTCAATATTTCTTTTGTCTCCCACATACATTACAAAAAAAAAACACCTCACTGCCATCGAGTCAATGCTGACTCATGGTGACCCTATAAAACAGGGTTGAACTTCCCCTGTGGGTTTCCAACGCTAACTCTTTATGGGAGTCAAAGCCCTGCTATCTCTGTGGAGCCTCCAGTGGGTGGTTTTAAAATGCTGACCTTGGAGTTTGCAGCACATGTTGTAAGCGTTACACCACCAGGGCTCCTTACTTGGCTGAAAATCTTTGATATAGGTATATTTTTCCTAATTGAGTAATCTTGTATAAATTCCAAGTTTTCTACCTTTAAATCATGGAAAGAAATATTGCCTTCAACAAAGAAAAATGATTACTGGTATCATATAGAGGGACTGATTGCTGTGAGTTGGAATGTACTCTGATGGATGGGCTTGAGTGTTTAAATTAGCAAATATAATTGTGAATCATTTAACTACACTGACCCTGCAGGCATCCTAGCGTGTACAATGTGATGTGTGCTGTTCATGTACTTAAAAACTGTCACATAAGCCCTCCCTAACAAATAGAACAACAAAAAGCACAAAAGCCCACTGTCTTTGAATCAATCCCAATTCAGAAACCCTAACAGACCGAAGAGATTGACCCTATGGGGTTTCTAAAAATGTAAATGGAAGTCTTTACGTGAGCAGATTCTCACATTTTCCTCTGACAGAGAGATACTTAGGAGTTCCATCAACAACTCAGTTAGCAGCCAAATGTTTTAACCACCAAGAGTCTGCCTTGAATTGCTTGTATTTTTTAAAGTTTAGTCAGCTGGAGCACAAAGGGTAGTAAGTCAGTGGAAAAGGGAAATGATGTTCTTAGAGCCTTTATAAGTATAACTCAATCCTATAAATAATAGCCTCCCTTTAGGAAGATTTTTCTAATGAAGGAATTTTAGAAAATTTGAGCATAGTAGTCTCTATATCATTATTTGTAAAATTAAAAAAATTGTTTTAAGTAACTTCTCCATAGGGTAACCAAGCCCACAATAACCACACTCACTGTCAGGGAGTCAGTTCTGACTAATAGGAATCCCATATCACTAATTCCAAGGCTATAAATTTCTAAGACAGCAGAATGCCCAATCTTGTTCCCACAGAATAGCTCCTGGGTTTGAACCACCAATCCTGCAGTTAGTCATCAAATGCTTACCCCACAGCCCCATCAAGGCTAGTTGAGGGGCCTTCAAAAAGTCCATGGAATTGAAGAATAGTGGAACTTTCCACCAATTCTGTACTTGCAGATACAGATAGAGAAATCACTTACCAACTGACCCTGACACAATAAAAGCTAAGTGAACACCAGGTTTTTTTGTTGTTTGTTTGTTTTTGCAAACAAGAGTTAGAGAAATTGGGATGATAAAAAAAAAATCTAATTTTACAATTTGAAAAAAATTTGCTAGTCCATTGTAACTCATAGCAACCCTAGAGGCCAGGGCAAACCTTCCTGAGAGAGTGAATCTGTGATCTTGAGCCATTTGATTTGTAGCGGGTGCTGTGAGTTGTTTTGTGTTTTTTTTAAATGCATTGATACCTCAATGCTCTGTGTCAAAAACTTGTATGCGCACATGGGAAAGAAGGGTTACCTGAATGAATAGATTCATTTATGAAGGAACTTCCAAAAGTTCCCTCATTGAAAAATGGAATTAAAAGGTAAAAGCATTTTTTCTGGGAACTTTGTGAAGCCCCTTCAATATTCCAGCTTTTATTAAGTGGTTGGCTAAACTGAAGCTGACCTTCACATTTGCATGACTGCAAGTGAAAGCTGGTTAAAGATATTTCATTAAGTAAATTCATTTCTATGAGAGTGAAGATTCCGTCTGAATTGTTCAGTCTTTCCCAAGCTTCTCTGTCACTAACACGCACTAGATTGAATTATAAGAAACTGTCGATATTTGACTTCATTTTAAAAATCTGAAAACCGTAAGTTCTTAAAGTCTCCTCTATTAGACATGGCTTTCTTCCTACATAAACGTCAAGACATTCTACAGTACATACGGTAATCATGACTCTTTAAAAGAGCCTTCTTGTAATGGAGCCTGCTTGCCTCACTTTATTCTTGAAGACAGACCACAGTGGCTGTTTGGGGGGAAAAATAGTGTGGAGCTAACAGGGAGAAATGGAGAGCTATGTGAAATGGGATAATCAAAATTGAGGGGGGGAAACCCACACACATAATTATTTCTATTACATTTTTAGGGGTTCTATAGCAAAGCTTCTGAGTACTTCCAGCAAGCTTTTGACACAACAGGAGAACTAGCAATCGTGCCTCTGATGGAAGAAACGAAGGTTCACTATGGGATAGCCAAAGCTCACCAGATGATGCTGACGATGAGCAATTATATAGAATCCGAGGACATCACCAGTCTTGGCTACCTGCTGTCATGGAAAGAGAGCAGAAGTAACATCACCTTTGACCAGACTGTCGGTAAGGCACTGTGTTCAAGACACACACGGGTTGTTGTGTCATTCTTAGTTAAGCCAACTCCCATGTAAGGAATCACTCAAAGATGGATGGTTTTAATTGTATTGGTAATTTTCATTTACTTAAGCATGCATGAAGATTGAACGTGCATTGTGCACTCTAATACATCTCCATTTTTATGCAAAGTACAAAATAGTGGCAGAGATTTTGTAGTTTGCTAAATCATGCTCTCTTCCCTTTTTCTTTTTTTCAATTATGTTATGTAGCCATAACAATGTGAAATAAGTTTATGCTTTTAAAAAGTGTCCAGTGTCTGACAAGAGTAAGTATTGAGAGATGATATATTGTACATTTATTTTTTAATTGTCATTGGTCTTGTAGTTATTTAAGCTTACATTTGAATTTTCTTCTGGAAACCATTTTTCTCAATTCTACCTCTTTCCTCTGTATGTTTCATTGTGAAGATTTAGAGTTAGTGTGGTCATTAACTAAAGAGGAGGCCAAGAAACACATGAAAAGGTGCTCATGATCATTAGTCATAAAAGAAATAAACTACATTCTACAATGAGCAACCATCTCCTACCTACAAAAACAGCACTGATAAAAACAGAAAATAATAAATGCTGGAAAGTTTGTGGCAAAATTGCAACTCATATACTGCTGGTGAAATTTTAAAATAACAATACCTTAAAAAGCTAGAAAAATATGATTCCCCTCCCCACCTTTGGTGTTTAAAGCCTGGTCCCTTTGGCCCTTCATGATTACACATGTTGGTG